CGGCGTACAAGACGACCCCCGATTTTTGGGGGATGTTTTTTAACTTCAGAGGTCGTCTTGTACGCCGGAATATACGGTATTATATATTTTAGAGAGTCTGTCTGTCTGCCCCTCAGCCAGGGGGCATGCACCCCAGCCTTAGCTCTGCCTGTTGCTAAGTGGACAAGCACTTCACCCCTGCTCCCAACCTCCAGTCTCTGTGCCACTACGTGGGACAGTGACTTACACTGTAGCATCTTTGCGGAAGAGGAAATGCAAATGAAGCACTTCACCCCTGCTCCCAACCTCCTTCCAGTGAGAGAGAGCTGGGGTTGTCCTCTCCCACCTGGGCAGCCTGTATGCTGAATTCCTCATCTCCAGGGCCCACCTCTGAACAATGATTTAAATGAAGAAAAACAAAACTTACTTGAGTTAAGGACCCGAGCAATGCTGGGTAAATCTTCTAGCATACACATATTTAAAAGAAAGCCCTTTACCAACCGTTCGCATATAAGGCTGTATTTTTCCTGGGGTTTGTGATGAGAAAATAAAGAGAGCAATGCTTATGTAACTGGAGCCCTGAGTTTGAAGTAGAGTTTTGGTATATGTGCAGATGAGGTGTGATTCTCCTTTTATAGCAACATCAGAAACACAGACACAGAGGGACAAGGTTTTCAAAAGCACTCAGTGTCAGCCTAATTGTACACCCCTCCCATACAGGAGAGTTCCCTGTGACTTCGGTACTACACGCCCACTCGCCTTTGCCACCAGCTCCCAGAATGGTTCTGGCAAAGGAAGCTCTCTGCCAGAACCACAGATCTGACTCTATTAGCTCGACAGCCCCAAGCAGTTTAAACTTAGCCCGTTAGCACATGCCAAAGTAGAACTTGTCTTGTTTACACTCGAATTTTAGGACCTGTAGTTAGAATGCAGTAGCTAAAATATTCTAAAAACAAGAAACAAACAAACAAGCTCCATTTTGTATCCTAGTTTAGGCATATCCTGGTATCATCTTCTGCAGCAATATATCATAAATATGGTGACTATATATTTTTTTTACAAAAGGTTACTTGATATTTGCATTTAAAATATTTTTCTCAGAAAAGTGTTACTAATTCCTGGGAATGTTTTGCATAATACATTAGAAGTAATTAGATTAAAGACCATAGTTGGATAGCTGGTTAAATTTACTTTATTGTTTGGATTAATTATGTTTATTATTTTATTATTGCTGTGAAAATTAAAAAGTGCATAATATAAAAAAAGAACACTGTGAAACATTAAATGAATCGTACAATGCTATCTGCATTTTTGTTGCATTAGCATGCAAATATAGTGGTAGAACTGCAAACTATGTTTCCCCTTTCCTCCCACCCAACACAAGAAAAAAATGTAATCAGGTCTGTAAGTAAAATTAAACCTATTATTTCAAAGTAACTTTTCCATAGTTATTATCGTGTTCTGAAGTTATATTGAAACAAGAAACTTACGTAAACTAAACAAAGTGTCCAAAAGTATGACATCATTTCCCTTGTCCTACATATGTACGAAGGATAAGAAACTGCTATTTGGTATAGTCTGTACTTTCAGATTTCTATTATTTTTACTGGACAATATTTTTTAAATAATGCCATAGTTACACAAAGCAGGACACGTAATTTAACAGTCTCTGCTTGCTACTGTGAATTCTGTTTTTGATATGTTGAATTCCTGCACTGCCTGCTAAAAGTATATTTTGTACCATATAAGCCACTAAAGTCTGTCTGCCTCTTGCCCTCTTTTTAACTTAAAAGTGATTAAACACTTAAGACAAGACTTTGTTATATTTCCACTATTAGCTGTTCTGTGTAGTGTACAGGGTGTCCCCACTATAGGTCGCCCCAGTATACATCTGTTCTGAACTAATGTCATTGACGCTTGTGAGAACTGATGCGTTCTAAGTCTTCCCATTCCCCGCTCTTAAGTTGTGCTAAAAAAACCCCCAAAACAACCAATTTGCACAAAAGTAAGTCAGCCCCGGGAAAAATATTCCCTGCTATAAGTTGTTTCACTATAAGTCCAAGTTTTTTGGAACATATCTTGGACTTATAGCAAGGACGGCCTGTATAGCATTTCCTTCTGGTTAGTCAAAATACAAGTCTCCTGTTGCAATATACAATCCACAGAGAAGAGTAGATCAACATACTCCATCTCAAGCAATTTGGTATTCTTTCCAATTTAGCGGGTTTTAATTACTGTTGTTAGGATCCTCTCAGATGTCCACAATGACTAAGCTGAGGGCTGCCTTTTCTGAAAACTTTAGTTTACAAGACTTTGGAAGGCTTTCAACAATGTGCTAGAATAAACAGGTCAAAAGAAAAATAATACATACTATTTGGATACACAAAAAACAATGTCTAATTCAAATCCACAAACACAAGGAAAGTGAAATGTAAAGCTAATTTGTACTGTTCCTTATCTGATTTGGCAATATGTTTTAAATAAGATTGTGCCTATACTATAACCTTCAGCTGATGCAACTTATATTGGTATATCACTGCTGAAGCGTGTATATCACTGGTTGCTGGTGTTGGTACTATGGTTGTTTGTGTTGGTACTTGGGACAGATGTAATACCTACGAATTCAAAAGACTATATTGAAAATGTGCCAGTCAATTATGGATTTTTAGGAGAATTAGTGAATGTGAATAACTATCCAAGTGATGTAAATAACTATCGTCCAGTCGCTAATATTCCCTTCTTGGGCAAGGTACTCGAACGGGCAGCAGT